CAGAAGACCCTGTGTTCTCCTAACTGGCTGTGACCAGCCATCCTGGGGGAGCATGGTGAGGGCCCCCCATTCGCTGAGCAAGCAGGGTCCTGGGATGCGAGGCCAGATGACTTCTCTGCCTGAGACGTTCCTCTATACCTGGGAGGCCTTGAGAGGCCTCAAGAGGCCCAAGAGGGAGTTTCCTCCAGGACTTTGGTTGGTCTCGCCTTCTCAAGGTGCTCCCCACACCTGCTGTTTGAGCACTTTCTTTTCTAGGGCTGGAACAGAGGATGCCCCTTGCAGTCAAGTCAGGCAAAGATGGCGTTGCCACCCTGGCAGAAGTTCTTCCTACAGGCCTTACACTGTGGCCTGCGGATGGTCCTGGGACCCAGCAGAGTGCCATGCCCCAGGACTTCATTGCCTGACCTTTTGAAATTGGCCCTCCTTGCTGATAGTCTGTGAGCTGGTGTCAGAGCTGGAAGGGACTGTCGAGTCACCTGTGCCCTGACAGCCTGCTAGGGTCTTGGGGTCCTCAGTGGTCTATTGAAGAGGAGGCTCCCCTCCCCCAGCAAACACGGTGGCTTCCCCAGGGGAGCTGGGGCTGGTGGGGTGAAAGGCAGGATGTCCTCCTGTGGAGGGCAGGGGGGCAGTCTTTAAGGGACTGAGGGAGGCAAATGCTGGCCTGAGGCCTGACACAGGTGTCTAAGCTGGGGCTGCCAGAACAGAGCACACCAACCAGGTGATGTACCCTTCCATCCATTCCTGGAGGCTGGGAGTCCAGGGTCCTGGTGTCAGCTGTGAGCGTCCAGGAATAGAGCCTGCAGCCCTCCATGGATCCAGGACTAGAGTATCTGAGGTAGAAGCAAAAGCCTTGTGCTGCTCAGGTGCGGGGAGCCGGGACCAGAACCTTCTGGCCCAGCTTGCCCAGGGCTCCTTTGGGTCTCTGGGTGGGCTCCTTTGGGTCCCTGGGTGGGCTCCTTTGGGTCCCTGGGTGGGCTCCTTTTCATGGATGACTAACTCTCCTCAGCAAGAAGCTTCTGGCACAGTACCGGCTAAGGGAGGCTGGCTCCCTGCCCCAGGCCAAGACACAGTCATCAATAGCAGCCCCAGGGATTAAGGTCCGAGGGTGCCAGCTGCTGCCATGTTTCCCTCTGAGCGAGTGTGGACCCAAAATGACTTGTGAGAGTACAGGCCTCTACAGTTACCGATCAGCCACTTGGTAAGATAGTGGGGATGGCACTAGCCTACAGTTGCTGGCAGGGCAGGGCCAGGCCTGGCTCTCCTGTTATGTACCCCAGCCCGCTTGGGTTCCCAGAGCTGTCTGTGCCTGTGCGATGGCCCAGTGCGGGGACAGCTTGAGTTCTTGGCCTCACTTGGAGGCTTGCAGCACACAGCTTTTGTGGGAAACCCAAGGCTGCCGTGTTCTCAGGGACTGGACTTCCTTCTGTTCTCACCTTTCTCTTTGTGGAAAAGAAGCTCCAGTAGATTGTTTCCCGTGACCACGTGCTGCCTGCCCCATGCAGTCCAGGTGACCTTCCTTCAGAAAGAAGTGGCCAACGTCCAGGGAATTGGGAGTCACCAGGCAGGCTTCCTGTGGGGGAGGCTGTTCTCACCCACACCAGGGGCTCAGAAGAATTAGGGAGGCTCTCTTTAACCCTCCTCCCTAGAACCACCCTGAAGGGTGTTCGTTCGCCTCTTTTCCACACTCTGCCTATCTCCTTCCTCCCCTGCTCCCTACCCTGTGCTGCTGCCCACGGTTGTTCCTTGTGAATCTGTCTACTGTGTATCTGTGTCTGTGTGCGTCTGCCTTATTCTGGGTGTGGGTCTGTAGGAGTCTGTATTTTGGATCTGAGCCTGTGTGAGTAAGAAAAGGGGAACCTTTGTTTCTGGGGATATGTGTGTGCCCATGAGTGTGTGTGTGTGTGTGTGTGTGTGTGTGTGTGTGTGTGCACGCGCATGCGCACGCATGCCTATGCATTTCTGGTGAGGAACCAAAGGGGACCCTTTGGCTTCTATCCTAAGCCAGCCCCTGAGGCTCCTTTGGGAGTCCAGGCCCTAAGGTTGTCTCCACAGTCTCACAGAGCTGTTGTGGAATTCCATGAGAGGATGCATGTGTGTGTGCCCAGGAGATTGGCAGGGGCCTGCTTGGTCAGAGCATTGATGGAGAAATGCCCTGTCACAGGCAGTTTGAAGCCTGGTGGCGGGCACTTTGTCCTGCAGTCTTCACAACCCTGGTGCCTTCAATTCCTAGAACAAGAATTTGCTGGGCTATAAACCCGAGTCGTCTTGCTGCCTCAGGTACATGAGATGAGTGGAATCCTCCCTGCGGTGTGCCAGTTCAGGCAGCGGAGCAAGTTACCAGCTGTGCAGGGTTCTAGGGAGGACAATGCACGCTCATGTCCAGCTCCACCCGAGTCCACACTGGGCCAGCTCCTGCCAAGAAAAAGATGACCTGGACTGATGCTAGTGTCCATGTATGACTTGGCTCAGAAACTTCAGGGACCAAGCAACCTTTTGTGACCCCCACCCCCAGCCCCAGCCAAGTCTGAGGATCTAGATGTTACTGGCACACGGCTGTATTCCATCAGCACCCGCGGGAGGAGGTCTTGGCATAAGTTTTAGGATTACCAGCAGCTCGTGGGGCGGGCCAGGGGAGGTCAGCTGGCACAGCCCGTGGAGTCTCCCTCTGCCTGGTGCCCTCACCCACATCAGGGGTTTAGGGACTGTGGGATGCTGGGCAGCAGCTCTCTGCCTTCATACAGCCAACTTAGAGATGTGCCCATTGTGGGGTGGATTTAAGAGGCCATAGGGAAAGATCCGAGGCCCCTCCAGCTCTCCCTTCCCTGCTACCATCATCCTAGCATGCCCCCTGATCATCAAGGGTGAGTCTCTTCTCATTACTGAGTTCTAAAACAAACTACAGGGTACAGACTGAATTTAGGATGGGTTTAAGAAGACAGGATCCTAAAAAGGTATTGTTCTTACCTACAAGGGGCAAGGCTCGAAGAGCCCTGTTGCCACTCCCAGGCCCTGCAGTGTAGGAGGCAGCAGGCAGATGTCCTCCCAGGCCCTGCCCTGGCACCCTCAGGGCATCCTCAGCCAGGACACTTTCTCGAGTGCTCCCAGAGGTGTTCATGTGTCCAGCCACAACAGTGACAATTCCCGGCATCCTTCTCTGTCCTTCTGATTCAGCTCCTGGACTGGGGTAGCTGGGAGAGGCCATGTTTTGGTCTGCAGGCTCTGGCCCTCATTCTGAGAGGGCTCATTGGGGAAGTTCTGCTTTGGCTCTTTTAGGATTCTGTTCTCACTTATTTTCCTGGATATTTTTGTCCCCTTTGGGGACAGGGACGCATAGAAGCTTGTGGCACCAGTCGAAATGGCTGCAGGATGCCTTGCTGTAGCCCACCCCTACCCTCTCTGGGCTTCCCTGGGGCAAGATGACAGGCAAAACATTTGCATCCTTTCCTGCTCCCTGGCCACCCACTGCTCCACTGCCTCAGTGCAGGTGGGCAGGATTTAGCAGAGCTCCTGGTGTCTACTATGTGCTGGAATAGCTCTTTTTTTTTTTTTTTTTTTTTTTAGGGAAGGGTCTACAGGGTATTCAGGGTCTCACTACTAGATAGAACTCATAGTGATCTGCCTGTTTACAGCCTCCCAAGAGCTGGGATTACAAGTGCATGCCACCATACCCAGTCTGAATTGCTGTCTCAGCATGCCCTGGGGGCAGGGCTGGCACTTGCTTGTGCTTAATCCTCCGTGGGATAGCTCTTCTTGCGCAGAGCAGAGCATTATGGTGTGGGTGGAGACATCCTCCGGAATGCTCTTGCTGCTTAGACCACAGCAGGGGTTGGGGGTGGGGATAGGAGATGAGGGGGGCAGGGTGCAGGAGCCTCAGTGGGACAGGGCAGTCTACCCAGCTGTCACCTCTTTCAGAATTGCTAGTAGAGGCATGGGCTGTGCTCTTTGGTGCCATAGCCTCTGACCTGAAGATCTGGGGCCTCATCTCACCTCTAGGCCTGGCCACTGACTTCTTGTGAGGCCCCAGGAGGTTTCTTTTTTTGTTTGTTTGTTTGTTTGCGGTACTGGGGATCGAACTCAGGACTTGCACATGCCAGGCAGCCCCAGGAAGTTTCTTTACTTCTCTAACTTTTGTTTGCACATTTAGTTGGTGTTAACCAAATTCTTGCTGTGGCCCTTCCTGGTGTTTAGTGTATGGGTTCCGTGATCCAGAAACACAAGTCTGGGGTGCCAGGCTTCCAGGCAGGTGGGGGCAGTTGCCCTGGAAGTCTCTTGCCTGTGCCTTTTCTGATCTGCAGGTCCTCCAGGCTTCAGCATGTCCCAGGCCCCACTCCTCCACCCACAAGGTCTGCAAAGCAATGCAGGGGCCTAGAGTAGGCAGAGAGCAGAGTGAAAAGTACACGAACCTCTTAAGGGACCATGTACCTCCAAATTCTGATTCTTCCACTCATGTATGACAAGTGCTGTAACAGGGTGGTTGCGTATGCCTAGAATCCCAGCCCTGGGGAGGCTGAGGCAGGTGGATCACTGTGAGTTTAAAGTCAGCAACATAAACAAGTTCAAGGCCTGCCAGAGCTACATAGTGAGACTCTGTCTCCAAAGGAGGGTAGAGACCAAAACCAAAGAAACATGACAAAGGCTCTGGGCTCTTACTATTAGTGGGGGAAGGTTCTGGAGATTTAACCCAGGGCCTCATGCACACTAAGCACCATGCCACTGTGCTATACCCCAGACCTCTGAAAACATACTTGGTCTTTGGCCTTCCTTCTATTCTGCTTCATTCTCCTCCTGCCAAAACAGCCCTTTTGTGTAAATCTGTTTCAATTTTCACTTCTCATCCCCAGATGTGTGGGCAGCCACCCTCAGAGCCTCTGGACCATGTGTGGACTGGTTCAGGCCTGCCCCTGTCCTTGACCTTTTCCTAGGGTGAGGCTCATAGGGCTCCCCAGGAGGCAGACACCCCACCCATCTGCTCTAACCACCCTGTTGTGTGTTCCTTACAGCCTGTGACTGCCATCCTGTTGGTGCTGCTGGCAAGACCTGCAACCAGACCACTGGCCAGTGTCCCTGCAAGGACGGGGTGACGGGCATCACCTGCAACCGCTGTGCCAAGGGCTACCAGCAGAGCCGCTCACCCATCGCGCCCTGCATCAGTATGTGTGGGACCCCGCTCTCAGCCTTTGGATTGGGTGGGGGGATTGGGCCCCTCGGGATAGCTGATTCCTGGTGTTGAGTCATTTTGGTGTTTAATGCCCAGTGCACCAGGAGACTTCAGGCTTGGGGTCGGGGAGGAGTATCCTGCGGGGGCAGCTGGAGGCTCAGCAGAGCCAGCCTGCACAGGGCCCTTGGTCCTCCCCAGAACTGCCTCTCTAGTTGTGGGGGAAAGCAAACCCTTTTCCCAAGCTCAGGTGCTGTTCTCACATTCCACCTTGACCCCAGATCTGGGGTGGGCTGCTGCTGCGGCTGCAGGAATCTTACCATGTCCCTGCCTTGGTGCATTGAGAATGGAAAGAACCAAAAGCCCAGGGCCTTTGAGAATAGCTGGGTCAGGCTGTATGCACAGCATCCAAGGCCCTTGGGAAATTGTCACCCTAAGGCAGTGACAGCGAACCTACAGCTCATGTGCCATGGCCAACTGTGTATAGCATTGACAGCTCTCAAAGGCTCACCATCACTGCCTTAGGAGCTCCAGGGACCTTGCTGGTCCAGAGTGGGCAGAACATGGAGAGAGGCTGGGCAGGATGGCAGGCTCTCTCAGAGGCCTTGGCTCAGAAGGGTTTCAGAATGGTAGGCTTGTGCTGGGGTTATGAGCGGAGAATTAGCGCTGCTAGAAAGCCTTGCCTCACTGCAGGTTGGTCTAACCTCTCTCTGGACCTTAGCCTTACTAGGTCCTCATGCAGGGCTGACCAAGCCAAGAAAGGAGGGGAGGAGGGGGGAGCAGAGGGATGGGGAGGGAAGGTCAAGGGGAGGGGAGGGGAGGAAGAGATGGAGGAGGAGGACAAGGAGGAGGGAATCCCAGCAAACAGAGTATGATCCCATAAACAAAGTCTGTTTTTCTGGAGAGCAAAGTTGGCAAATCTGGCCCAGGAAATTGCTGCCTGCTTTTGTATGTCTCAGTAGTTTGTTCCTTCTTTAATGATTGAAACAGAAATCAAAGAAAGAATAGTATTTCATGACGCAAAAAAAAATTTATGTGAAATGCAAAGCTCACTGTCCATAAATAAAGCTTTATTGACATAGAGCTGTACCCTGCCCCATTTACATGCTTCCTGTGGCTGCTTTTGTGCTGTTAACAGCACAGTTGAGTAACTATAGCAGAGATGGTGAGGCCCACAGAGGCTTGAAATAGTTACCACTTGGTCCTTCTCAGGAGAAGTCAGTCAACCTCTCCTTCAGAGATTCTCTGTCGTTTAGTTGTGGGTGGGCTTTGGGGCCTATTGAGTTATGAGGGACTTGGAATGACCTGAGTCACAGGCCAGCACCAGGGCCACAGCATGGAGGTGGGGCCTCCCTCATCCCAGGGGCAGTCGTGGAGTCCTTGCCCATTTTGGGCCCTGCAGACACCCTTTCCCCCAGCACGTGGGCACCTCGGGCAGCCACTGACCAGTTTCTGAATCAAGGGATGTCTCCAGCCCATAGCCACTGGGTCCTGACAGAAATGACCAAAGGAAGTGAAGCTTTAGGAATTGGAGCTAGACGCCTACCTGGGGCAAGCAGGTTGAACGGGTGTCTCCGTGGTGGCATGCTTGCCTTGCCTGCCCAAGCCCTGCGTTCTGTTTCAGCATCTCCTTAGAAAACAGAACACAATGATAGTCACTTGTACTTCCAGCATTCTGGAGGCTGAAGAGAGAGGATCACAAGTTCAAGCCTAGCCTGGGCTTGAAGTGGCCTAGTGACTTAGCAAGGACTTGTCTCAATTTTTTTTTTTTTTTTTAAGGCCTGGGATTGTAGCTCATTGTGAAGGCCCAGAGTTCAACCTCCAGTTCTGGAAAGATGGAAGAAAGGAAGGAAAGGAGGAAGGGAGGGAGGGAGAAAGGGGTTGAAAGATTTTTACAATCCAGTTGAAGAATTTGTAAACATCATTTTGTCTGTCCATTAAAAAAACTGTAAATATTTTTAGAAATCTGGGATTATGAAATGTAGGGAAGAAACAAAGTCCGCCTGTGTCTCCCCGCCTGGTGCTGGGTGGGACCCCAGGGCCTTGTGCATGCTTGTCTTTCTTTCTTTCTTTCTTTCTTTCTTTCTTTCTTTCTTTCTTTCTTTCTTTCTTTCTTTCTTTCTTTCTTTCTTTCTTCTTTTTTCCTTTTTGAGACTTAGCCTTGCTATGTAGCTCAGGCTGGCCTCAAACTCATTGCAACCCTCCTGCCTCAGCCTCCTGTGTGTTGGGATTACAGGGATGTGCCCCCATGCCCATCTGCTAGGTCTTTCAAAGCTGTTAGAAGCTGTCAGGTTGCTTAGAAATGACTAGAGCCAACATTTCCAGTTCCCAAGTGGAAAAGCCAAGAGCTGATATTTCAGACTCAGAAATGGAACCCTCGTGCGGCGGGAGCGCCTGCCTTCCCACAAGCGCTGTGCTTTCCCCTTCCTTCCACACAGGACAGCAGATGGCTGGGGGGCATTTCCACCTGGCAGTCTCAAGACTCCGGACCCCACCCTGCAAGGTCCATGAGCGTTGGCAAATGGCCCTGCTTCGTCCCAGCTTGGAGAGCTCCGGATACTCCATGTGCAATCAAGAGCCAGGCCTGTGTACAGTACTGAGGCTGGGTATTCCTTGGGGCTCCCTGGCCATTGGCTCAGTCCTTCTTGTGGACTTGCAGGGTCAGACCAAGCCGTGCAGATTTGGCCTGCAGAGCGCTCCTGGCAGGACCACATGTCTTTTCAGCGCTAAGAAGGGGCCTGTCCAAGGACCCCAGCTTCCTAATGAGCTGCTGCACCATGGCACCTGTAGGTTACTGCTGATAAAATCATCTGAGAGCAAGATGTGGTTCTGCAGTGAGAGCTGCGTCCTCTGTCCGTTTTCCGAAAGGCGCAGAGCCTGCTTCCTCAGGGGTCGCTGATTTGCCCCCAGCCTGCGTATTCCTTCTCTGTCCTGGAGCCTGTGTGAAGTGGGACTGGGTTGCAGACACGTCTGTGCCCCTTGTGACAAACCCCACTGCCCTCACACACCATATGTATTTCAAGTTGAGGTCACAGGTGAGGAGGGTCAAGGTAGCATTTTGAACAGAAAGTCCAGAGAAGATTGTCTCTACCACCCTGGCGCAGAGCTGAGCTGATGACAGCAGAACTGAAAGGACACAGAGTCGTTCTGTCTGTGTCACTGGGTCCCCCTTCAGTAACCAGGAGCTGTGACATCCCTACCAAATGAAGGGACCAGAGAACAAGACAACATACCCAGGACTCCAGTACCCTGATGCTGGCTTTCTTTTTATCTTAATTTTTCTGGCCAGGTGTGGTGGCATGTGCCTATAATCCCAGCACTTGGGAGACTGAGCAGGAGGATCAGTGCAAGTTTGAGACCATCCTGGGCTGCAAAGTGAGCGCAAGAGCAGCCCGAACCATATAGCAACACCATGTATCAAAAAGTAAAAAAAAATATTTTTTTTTTCTTGAGCTATATAGAGCATCCAAGGAAGAGAGGGTCCAGAGGAGTCTGTGGTGAGCCATTTTCTTTGCAAGTCGAAAATAATGTCTTCTCCCCTGTTTTTTTCTCCGGTCTGTCCTGAATCTCGCAGAGATCCCTGTAGCACCACCGACCACTGCAGCCAGCAGCGTGGAGGAGCCCGAAGGTGAGCTGTCCCCTAAGTTTCTTGTGTGCCACTTTGTCTCAGTGTGGAGGGAGAGGGGCATTAGAAGACCCAGCTCCTGTAATCCCCTTGGGCTCTGTGTCCCTGGTACCCACCCCTTACCCCGCAGCACACTGTGGAGGAGGGAGCGCCATAAGGTACTTCTTGGTGATTTTGCTTCTGAGAAGGACAGGTTTTCCTAAGGCCAGAGCCCTAGTGGTAAAGCTCCTTGTACTGAGTTAGAGTACTGGCCACTGGCCTGACAGCATCCGGGGCCTCCTTCCTAGGGCTACTGAGGAAGGAGGGGCTGTGCTGGGGCCAAGACTTCCTGGGCCTGGGATCTACACTGGGCACGGGAACTGGAGAGCCCATAAAGGGCAGCAGGAGGAGAAAGCTACCTTCTTCTAACTGAAGATGTAACGCTTCCTCCATGACAGACATGGACCACCAACCAGAGCCTTGTGACATGGTCACCAGTAGGAGCCATAGGTATGTTCCCATCACGTCATGGTTGATGCAGATACCATGAAATATCTGTGTTCACAATGGCGTCACAGTTACAGCAGTTACTAGGCCTACTTACAGTCATTTGAAAGAAGCCTATGTTATCGGGAGGCTGAGTCAGGAGGATCACAAATTCAAGTGAAGACTGAGCTGTAATCTCCAGCACTTTCTATTTTTTTATTTTGAGGCTGGGACCCTCCTTCTTCACCTGCCCTGGCTTCCTCCCATTTAGGATGGGGTTATATGCTGAAAGCATCCGGAGTACACGATGCATCGAGGACGCCCCTCCTGCTGAGAGTGCACCTGAGACCACAGGGCTGATGGAGCCGTGGCTCCCTGTTGCTGCCTAGCATCAGGAGAGAGGCTCTGACTGTATACAGCAGGCTCAGGAAAAGATCCCAATTCAAAACGTGAAATATAGTTCTACTGACTGTATATTGCTTTTACACCATGGTAAAGTCAAAACTTGTTATCTCAAACCATCAGAAGGCAAGACCATCTGTTTTATTTTAGCATTGAAAAATACCGTGGCAGGATCTGCAGGGTTCCTTGGTGTGGTCTGAAAGGCTTTACAGGGGGCAGGGGATAACAGCTCAGTGGCACAGGGCCTGCCTAGCAAGGGTAAGGTCTTGAGTTCAAGTCTTGGTATCAAAAGAAAAGATTTTGCAGCCCTGGCATTGCACATATGGAGGACATAGAGCTTGGCAGTGTGGGGTGCCCCGTGGAGCACAGTCCAGGTCCACGCTAGGCTCCTGGATATGGGACGCCATGGCTTCTGTGTACCGGTACTTGGAACAGGCAGTGACATTAGTGCCAGCCCTGGGGGTCCTTCTTCTCTCTAGATGGGACAGTGGGGAGGTGGGAAAGCTTGCAAATAAAACAGGAGAATCACTATGAGTCCGATCTACATAGTGAGACCCTGTACACGCAGTAGACCTTGTCCTAAATTCATTTTTAAAAAATGAAATTGAGGGGTAGGAATTTTGAAGCTAGAAGATACTTAGGGGAATGAGCGTCCTGTGCCTCAGCGGTAGTCGCAGTCCTTTGGCCAGAGATGCCTGAGGGCACTCAGCTGCACAAGCCCTTGGGTTCACATCACCAGTGCTGCATGGGGACAGGACAGATCTTTTTCTTTTTAATTATAATTACTAGCACATATTAATTATGAATATTAATGGGTGCACCAGGACATTTAGTACAGTGCTTAATGATCTTTCTCTTGTCTCCTTTCTTTTTTTTTTTTTTTTTTTTTCTATGTCTCATTACAGAATTTTGGATTTCTTACAATGTTTTTGGCTTTTTCCCTTCCAAAGCAGAAATGGGTAAATGAGGAGAGGGACAAGCAAGAGGGGGTAAAAAAAAAAAAATCTGTGTGCTCCTCCAATATTTACATAGGATACACATAGCTGGTGTAAAGCATCCAAGTTTCCTAGCTGTACTAGACAGACTATCTGCACCTCCACTGCTTTATTTTTCAGTGCTAGGAATCTAACCCGAGGCTAGGCAAACACTACCAGAAAGTTAAATGCCCTGCCCCAAATAAGAGATTCCCAAGCAGCACTTTCTTTTCTCTTAATTTATGTATTTGGTACAGGGTCTCACTACACAGCTCAGACTTGTAGTGATCCTTCTGTTTCGGCCTCCCCAGAGTTGGGATTATAGGCATGAGCCACCACACCTAGTTTCAGTGGCCAGCTCAGTGCAGGGCTGGCACAGCATGTGGTACTGGGGATCAAACCCCAGTCCTTGCGCTTGCCAGGCAGGAGCTTAGACCACTGTCTGAGCTATCTCCCGGGCCCTGCGCAGCACTTTTTAATACCACTAGCCGCCTCTTTAGAAATGAGGAGGCTCCTTGACAGTCCTTGATTGGTTAATTAACTTTTCTGATTCCTCTTGATTTTATTTACGACTTTATTTTTTTCTTCTTTTTTTACAAATGTGATTTAACCACTTACAAAATGCTTTCCTCAGTAAAGGGCTGGACAGTCAGGTTTGGATCTTGGATCTTTGGCCAGACATTTGCTAACCAGTAAAGGGGCACCCGGAAAGCACGAGTCATCCCTGGGGACACTGAGCTGGCTTTCAGGCCATCCCATCAGAGAGCTGAGAGCTGGAGGCCAGACAGAGCCCGGGAAGCAGGGCCTGGGAGCACAGCACCTCCACACCTGTCCACTCTTGCTGTGTTTGGGCAGGGAAGGCCTCTGTGCGGAGTTGCCTGAGAAAAGCTTATCTTTGCCTGCTAACCAGAAGAATCAGTAAGCCGAGGATTGGTGGTGAGGCTGACAGACACAGCCTCTCCTTGAGCTGGCCAGTGAGCAGTTGTGGGCAGGATGGCCAGGAGCGTGGTGTTGTGGGAGGTCTGAGGCAAGGAGGCTGGGAAGGGCAGGGGGAACCCTTACTCCAAAAGGGCTATGTGCGGAGGGCCCTGGCACAGACCAGCCTCCTGGGGTTGCAGAGGCCTCAGCACCTTTTGGCTAAAAGAGGGACATCTGTCTCCCCTCATCCTCCCTAACTTAAGAGAAATCCATGATCGCAAATGGCAGGCTTCTGTGGAGGTCTCTTGGTTCATTGGAGGAGCACTGGTTTGGAGCCAGCAGATCTGGGTTGCTCTTTCCCTGGCTTGAGATCTTGGACTGAGCAGGGTGGGGACCTGTGCTCCCAGGCTCCTCCTTGTTAATGACACTCCCTCCTGCAGGGGTTTCTTCCTCATCCACATCTGATTTTTTTTTGTACCTACTGGGGATGGAACTCAGGACCTCGTGCTTGCCAGGCAGGTGCTTATGCCACTGAGCTGTCTCCTCAGCCCAGATCTGGTCATTGAGTCCACCCACAAGCCCTAGCAGAGGTCAAGGAACCGGGGTGATCTGTAGCTTGTGACACTTGGCCTGGAGTGAGTACTGCACCTGTGCCCTGTTTCAGGCTACCTCATGGAAGAGACATGCAGAGTTGGCTCTCAGAGCCCATGGGAGCTGACTCCACCCCACCTTGTTGTGAGCCTGTCCAGGAAATGGACAGAGACCCACAGAAGGAAGGCCACTTCTCCTGGTCTCCCTGGTTTGAAGTGCTCAGCCGCCTTTGAGTGCAAACTAGGCCCAGGACTGGGGTATAAGAGTGAGGAGCCAGGCCAATCGCGAGGTGCCCCTATCCTCCCACAGGCTCTTGGCCCCTTTCCCTAGCTCTTTTTCCTCAGTGAGCCCAGCATTTTTGGGCTCCTACCTGGCCCTCCTGTTCCAGTGGCTCCAGACTGGGCTGAGAGTGGTTTCCAAGAGTTTCTTGCATGCGCCCCTCAGAGAGAGAACACTCTACAGGTGGTGGCTGGACCCACAGAGCTCTTTGTGCAAGCCAGCAGGTGAGCTAGGGTGGGGGCACCTTTCGAGATGTCACATGGAGCAGTGTGTATTATTCTCAGGTTAGCCTTCTATGTGCCAGCTGAGGGACTAGGTTGGTGAAAAGAGAATAGGTGGCATCAAGACTAGAAATACAGAGAGGCTTGGTGGGCAGGACAGAAGGCTGGCTACAGCTTTGAATTGGAAGCCAGAGTTTGACTTGCTCTTGTGTGGTTTCTTTCTCTGAAATGAGTAGCAGTGATCCTGCCTTACAGGGTTGCTTAGGTGAATAAATGAGCAGATCCCTGTGAAGCCTGAGTCGGTGGGGTCCTGCTGCAAGTGTTCAACACAGAAGAAGAAAACCGCATGAAAAATGCAGACACCACAGTATGATAAGGGCTTGAGCCGAGCTGGCCACGTCTCTGCCAGCCTCTGCCCAGGACCGTGGGGCTTGGGGCCAGTTGTTGGCACGCGGACAGGTGTGCAGGGTTAGCATGATGTAGGGGCTCGGGGAACCCTGAGGAATGACCAGGTGGGCTGCCCCAGCAGGAGCGACTGAAGGGCTGTGGGTGGCCACAGCAGAGCTTCCTGGCAAGCAGCTAAAGATTAGAAATCAATCAATGATCAAGTGCTTGACTTCATGAGAGCCAGCGGGTGGAAGCAGCCCAGATGTCCTCTCTGTCTTCTCCCTTGGTGGGAGCCTTTCAGAGGCAGCGGTGTTTCTTAGCTTGCTCACCACGGCCAGTGTGGAGAGAGGGTTGAGGGAAACGGCAGAAGTGCCTTGGGAAAGCCAGGCTCCCCACCCCTGCAGCCTCCTCTGCTTTGGAGACTCCTGAGAAGGGTGTGGTTCCTTGAGTTCCCGGTGGAGGTGTTTCAGATTCCTGGAGCAGAGAAAGGGGCCTGAGAGTCCGCCATGGATGGGGGCCCTTCAGCTGATACCAGGAGCCCGGAGAGGCACTGACCAGGGCACCATCCCCAAAGGGCAGCATGAAACAGCTGGACCACCCTGAGCCGGCCACGCAGGTCAGTGAGTGCAGTGTCATTCACATCATCAGATATGTGCCGGCTGGAGGTCAGACCTGACCTGGGATCGGGCGTGAATGGGTTCTGCGTGTGTGTGTACGGCTCACTGTGTGCTCAGCGGTATTCTGGATGCTTTGTCGGTGTCGGTGG